GTCCCATAGTTGCTAAGTAATCACTGGTTTAATGTATCTTTTAATTTGTATTATTCTTTATTATAATATCAATAGTTATAATTATGACAATGAATCCCCTAATATTAATAATATACGGTATAGATTATCACTATTGTTATTATCATTGTAATCCGCAATTTTATTCTCCATAAACGTACATCAACTCGGAATTTCAGAGTGCGTGAAACAGTATATAGCAATATGTTACATCAAAGACGAAATCGCGTCGCTCCATAAACCGGCCTATACATACATTACAATTACAGCTCGATTAATACTTCTGTTCAACTTTAACGCTAATCTTAAAATCTTCTTTTCTTCTCGCTCGCCGTCCCGCTACGACATATCACCGTTTTGAGCTCTCTCGAGCGAGAGCCAACCGCATTCGCATTTTACATTAATATTTCTCGAGTTTTTATTTTTTTTTTTGCGAGCGAACGATGGTAAATAAGAAAAGTAAATGAGAAAAAGAAACAATAGTTTAATTGCACATTCTGCATCGCCACTCGAATTCTCAACTTAAAGCTCGATCGCGTATAACGATTAGAAATATGCATATTTCAGCTGTAACGACTGCATAGATTTCTCGACGAAAGTTTATCGTCGATCAACTGTATGACTAACGATGACGTTGGTCGCAATAAGCTGCCATTCACCACAAATAGAACTCTGGTTACATTTCGGCGATGGTATAGCACGGGATCCATTTCTATGTCTCGGTATTTAAAAAACAAGCGCAAATTCTCTATATATAAACAATTGCAATAGGACAAGTTTACGAAAGCTACATTTAGAATATGTACAAATCTAGAGTTCACGTATACATATATATATATATAAAACTTACACGCGGCATCTCTGCAACAGTATCAACATGTGTGTTGTAATATATATATTATAATATCATAATATATTATAATATATGCATCTAAGATATACCTAATTCGTATGTCACAGATATAAAATGTATTACGAGTGTCAAAATTTACAAAAATTATCCCTAGAACCAATCCCTTCTATTTGTGGTCAATGGATATCCATGCGCCAGACATTTGCTATCTGAAATACTCTATGGAGAATTTTACTTGATAATATTACATTTATCAGCGAGAAAAATCGATAATATTTTCAACGAAAGATTCTAAAATTGAACGATCAACAGTATCCATATAGGACGAAGCGCAAGGCGACGATAGATTGAGCCAGTAAAAAGCCTTTACTTGCAAAGGTACTCACTCTTCACCGAAAAATATATATCTCCCAGGACATTTATTTTCCGATAGAGACATTTCAACGTATACCAAAACCGTCTGCCTATTCTTTGCTAGGATCCTTTACTGTCTCTTATCAATATTTGCAACTATCAAATGCTTCGCGAAGATAAACACCAACGTTATCTTACAAATCTAACGCGATTGAACCAGTGGAAACGCGATACAAACTCGTTACTCATTTCACACTATCCGTACACGTTGATGGCAGTTGCGTATTTATTGGTGTATCAATGTTATCTCGTAATATTATAAGCCCGACGTCTAACAACGGTATTCCTATCGTACACTTAATGCGCTATTTCCCCCCGTTTCCCTCGATAAAATTCTCATATCCCTAACATCTCGTATTTATCGGCACTACAATACTCTCTTCTCCTCCGTACATATAAAATCAGACTTAGAATTACAGCACATACTGAGGCCGTGTTGTAACAAGTTCTGCGATATAGTTAAACTATATATAATCTCAGCGTACAATCCTCTCTCTATCGTCACACATTTACAAGACACTTCGAAGCGAGAGATTATTTATATAATTTTAACTTAGATCTTCGATTACAGGTTGCACGTAAAAATATTAACTTTACATCTCACTCACATAATTCGAGCTCGCAGAACTTGAATCTTCGCGTAACATCGAATCCGATACCGGTGACAATTTACTTACAAACTAAACGAACATAGAAACGGGAATGCACTCGCACACTTCCAAAACGATGATTAACTATTAATGCATAAGTAACCATCTGATGGAAATACGTATTTAATAAAAACGGAAATTGGTGCGTAACTTTCAAATAAATTCATTACACTGCACACGAAATAACATTCCGTGAGAATTAATCTGAAAGGAGCGTACTCTATCAATTGAAACGTGTACAATGAAAACTTTAAGTTTACAAATCATTATACGTGCTCGGATACAATTTATCTACGCCACCATTGCAATTGCTAAATTGTCTTCTATATTTCCTATATTCCGCGTGGGAATCTTGTTCTAAATAAATTTTAACGTAATATTTAATTCGACATGATAAATATAACAAACTCGAATAGAATTTCGAATGTAAAAATTAATCTAGAAAATTCGAATATGTGAAGTGCATATACAAAGACGCGTGTTCTTCTGGATTCTTACGTCGTACACACCCTTTCGAAATAGACTGTATGCACCGTGCATCACTCTAAAAATATACTATTGTTGTCACGATTTTTCTATACAAGAACAGATATTCACATTAAATACAACTGCAATTATATAAGAAACTTCCTAATTTAAATAACAAATTATTCTCGTGAGCGGTTGCAAAAAATTATCATGGATGATATCTACTAGGTGGCATGTTGTTCACCGAACGATCCTTCATGTCACTCGGGTTGAACATCATTGGTCCCTAGAAAATGTCCTTGGTTTAAAGTACATAAAATTAATAACAAGTTAATAGTTTTATGTAATAACATACTAGAGATGAAAATAAGATCCTCCGATTTTCGAGCTTGCGTAATTTTTTATTTTATAATTATTCGTATTAACTATAGTTTGTATGTAAGCAGTAAGGGAACATATATTTTTTTTAATCCTTATCCTTCGTTAAAAATATGTGACCGCGCATTTGTAATTTACAGTGCGCAAAAAGATAAGACATAAACTGGAACAGTTATATACACACACATATATCTTAACAAATAACAAAAGTAAAAGTAACCGAACAACGTGTAAAGTTATTTTACAAAACCTGCATCTAAAATCCTTTACCAAATTTTCCCACGATTCTATGATTAAAGATCTCATGAAAGTAGCGATTGATGATGATTGATAAGCGTAAGCTAGTTTTAGTAAGTAGCGTTAAATCATGATAAGAATTTTGCTTGACACATGGACAAACTGATTAGAAGACAAAAAAATCGTACTAGCATAATCCCTCGTACCATAGTATGTTTCGTAGTAATATTTTGGAAAGTGGTCACCTTGGAAATGCGGGAGAAGTTAATGCCATTGGATTACCTTGTTCCGTTGAAGGAGCCGCGGATCCCTCATTGTGTAGCTCTGCACCTCTCGTGATAACGAGCTGGTCGAGCTCCAGCGAGAGAGCTATATACCATACACAATACAATAACGTTGTCTCACTAACAGATATTCGCCACGTCGCTTGTGATTAGCTGTAATCTTATCTTCTATATTTACGAGTGTAATACCAATTTATGCACGATTACACGTTGCACTTATGCTCGCAGACATAGCGTAAAAAATAGCGTTTCAACAAACTTGTTTAACAAAGCGTAAGGCTCTCTCTCATATCACAACGTGAAAATCGGTATTACGATATTTATGTTCTCATGTATTACAGCGTAACTGCTGTATTTCAGCAAAAAGTAGAAAGGAATACTTTCATGCTTTAGTAACAGTGTGAGTACACAGATGATTATTGGATTTTTTTTAGAGGATATGCATTACGTAAAACCATTTATAATCACAAGGAAGGTACGATCATTCTATTGCTCAATAATGTTAAGGATATAAACATGCAAAGCGATATTAAATTCATTGATGGCTATAAGATGTTAATAATCAGCTTTAATTATGAAATACAGCCTTTTCTTATGCAAGAAAGCTACATATAGGTATATGTACATTTCCATGAAGCGGTGGGTAAGAAGAAAGCGTGTGCGTAAAACATCAAATAATGATATGTAAAAACTAATAAAATGAATGTCCTTACTATGAGCAATAATTATTATTTGGCTACATCATTCTGCTTCCCCGACTGCTTGCATAAAGAAACACAAAAAGAAAGGTAAGATTAAACACAGATACATAAAAGAAAGAATCTGTAGCAAAGTGGAGAGATCTAATTGAGTATCACTGTCGTTAAAATGAAATGTAGGAAGCAATAAAAGTGTATTTTAATTAATGCTATTAATAACATTGATCGTTTTAGCGATTATTTCTTCCGTTTAAATAAAAGGGGGGGGGGGAGGAGAAACTGGCATAGTGCTGGAACAGTCTAATCCATAAATATTTCGTGAAAAATTTCTACTGATTGATCGCCAATGAACATATAATTGCTGATTATACATAGATTAATAAATACGATCAATTCAAAGATATTACAAAAATACTTTTGAGAAAAATACACGATTTGCAAAACTAGGGGAATGAGTGTACAGATTCATTACAATGATTGTGTAGAGAAAAAAATCGTTATGTAACGTTATGGTTTCAGTAACACGCTGAAACAAAGATTAAGCTGCATACCAGAAAACTGCAGCCACATCGCAAGGGACAACAAATGTATTGTGTAATGTAAGTTTAATAATAGGAGACACACAGATGTGTGTGTGTGTGTGTGTGTGTGTGTGTGTGTGTGTGTGTGTGTGT